TTTCTTGCCGGTTCTTCTCAGACAAGGTCTCCCGCCGTAGTTTTGCGAACCGATGGCGTAGCTTCTTGACCTTCACAAGTGCTTGTAACAGCCTAGACTGAATAAATGACTTTTCATTTCAACAACATAAGAATAGAACTAGGTACCTTAGTAAATCCTTAGTTAATAATACTTATCACTAGTATTTATATTATATTTATAAAAAGATAATTTCTGAAATTATGTAAAGATGGTTTATACTCCCATCCCATATAATAATATCTGTTTATTTTTATGAAAATCATAATGTTAACCAGGTACATACCTAATTACCGATAATAAAATATAGAAACAGGTAAATGGAAAGCCTTTGAACATTTCATTTGAAAAGAAATCTATTATTACAACAGGTAGGTATAGGTATCATAGGTGCCAACTGCCGACACTCATAAATCAATATGAATATAAGCATTTATTCTTTTTATTATTAATTGCATTTAATGTTCATTTAATGCATATTATTTAAGTGCTTACATAGAGGTAAACACTAAATCTATTCAGAATATATAAAGTGTACATCTTTTACGATTAACTATAATAATTATAACCTCAAAATCTAATATATTCTGTAGTAGGCCACGATTCCTCAAGTTGTCCGTATCTCAAAAATCCCTAATTAGAGTTTATGAATGATTCCGAGCACAACTAGCATTTTCTCATTGCTGTGCGTTCTGTTCATTCTTCTTCTTTCAATGTTTTGAGAACGAGCAATGTCCTTTAGCAACAATTCTATTCCGTGAACAAAATAAAATCCAACAAGTATCGAGCATACGAAACTTATTAAAACATTCTATATTAGGAACCAGATTTTAGACGCTGTAAAGATTATTTAAAACCACTCTATGATATTCAAAATTATTAGAGATATATGTAGGTAGTTTCAGAGAGTAGGATTTTTGTTTGAGAGGTTTTTTATGCTTTTAACTAAAGAGAGTTTTCTTAAAAAGTGTTATAAAACAATAATGTCTATACTAACTTTATCAGGGTAAGCACACCATATAAAGTCGAGGCAATATAATCACATCGAATAACGGCACCGAATGGGATAATAAAACTTTTAAAAGGAATCCAGGTCACCTTAATAGACCTGTAAAGTGTCAAAAATCATAGTTACGACCGCTCGTTAGCCTTCGCAGCGATCTCCGGAGCGGAGCGCCCGTAAAAAAACACCTTGCCGTTCGGTTTAAACGCTCGTAAACCCGAGATGTCGGACGCTTAATTAGACGCTGAAGGGGATCCTTTAATTTATGCACATTCGCAATAAAAATAATTACAGCCCGCTCCAACAGACGACCATTACGCAATTTTTATACCATCCCCGCCCGGCCGCGCCGCGCTAAGTCCCGCTCTTAGAGTCGCGCGTTCCCCGTGATATAATTGCTGCGGCCTTAATTTATTATAACAAAATTTTCAACAAGAATAAACGTCCGCCAAGTTCGCGCCGTTAATTTATTAACCGAGGTGTGTTAACAATCAATGTTAACCCACTTTTCGTTTCATGAACTCTGTCCGTACCAACCCCTTTGGACATACTTGCTGTTGAAATATTAATTACTTTATGTACAAATGACTTATTTCGCTATTCAATCGAATACTGGAATTCTCATTTCATTCAATTACTTAAGCGTAACTTAAGCCCTATTATTAAGAAATTAACAATTAATAGTCCTTCCGAAACGACTAAAGTCGACCATTTTAAATAACTATTTTGAAGTTCTATTTTCTAGCTATATATGAAAACAAGTTAAATTTCTAATTTCTTCTTTTTAAATACTATTTAATGCAGGTACGTGGTGTTCGTTGCTGTGATTTTAAAATACTTATCACGCAGCGAAAGCGGTAAATCGATACCTACCGCACACCGGACATTCAGACCGGACTCTCCAGCAACCGGACAATTTAAACTGCAATTAACGTCCGGAAACGGCGCTAATGAAAAGCTGTCCGCATCCCACCCCATACTTCGGGCCCGATTTAATTTGTAACAATGTCACCTTTTAGAAAAACACAGGCACAGGTATACATGTTACACGCGAGAATAAAGGCTTTACAACATTAATTTCGTTGTCGAAATTTTGGTCACATACGAGAACGTTTGGAAAAGATACCGAGTCATATAATTGCAAATTGTTGGAGAACTTCCGGACAAATTAATCCCTTGTCAGTATTTGGGGTTACGTCAAAGCAAATAACTACTGGTTAGCGTCGTGAACAAGCTGATCTAGAATATCGCTAGTGGCACCTAGAACGGAGGAAGCATGATTTAAATTTCCGACCGCACTTATTGTCTTCGTAGAGCACGAACTACTGGCGAGGCAAAAGCGGCGGAGCCCTCGTAAACCCTCAAAATAATGCCCGGCTGTACGAACACGCTGAAGCATGCAGGAAGCTATTGCGACGAGCGAAACGAACGAGGCGAACGAGGGACGCCGCGTGTGGCGGCGAGTATGCGGCGATCGCTTAGCTTAATAAGCTGCAACACGTTTGGACGGCAGCCAGCCGCGACGCCACTCGAATTATGAAACTGCACAACAGACGAGCCGACTCAGCTGTGATTAAGATTTTTGCAATTCCGGAGAATTTATACCCCCGATATTTCTATGTCGCCCCATCAATTCGAGAGCGGGCCGCCCGAATGCGCATCGTTTCAAAATTTAATCACGAGCCGCTAGGTCTCAGTGTGGGGGCACATCAATAAATTCCTTATCAGCACAATGCATGTATACGACCGGCAATAAGAAAAGAGGATACATAAAAGGAAAAAAGGAATACAGAATAATTCGTAGCATTATTATAACATCCATTGAGGCGCGTACGTGACAATCAGCCTGGCGCGGGAGGGGTACGCACACTCGCGGTCGGGATTTATCGCGCGAACGTGATTGTTGTGGCGACGAAAAAGAGAAATAAGCCACCTCGTAACGAACGCGATATAATCGCTGCATTATTGATATTAGCTTTACCGTATCAGATTTGTCTATCGTTTGCGCGGTCCTCCGATAATACTCTTGTAGAAGTTCCAACACTTTATGGGATTGGGAGCGTTAATCGGATCTTAATCATAAATATTCGGTAGTTATTCGGAGCTTTGCTTTTTTCTTAAAGATATTAATAGCTATGCTTTATCTGAACAGAAAATGCAAGTTATATTATAATGACAAAACCATAACTTTTAGATTACGGGTGTAAAAGAAAACTTTGTTTATGATGGAACTAGCTCAACTTTAAAGTTAGAAAATCTCGACCTAAACAGAAATTTTGGAACGTGCAGAACGTTGTAGGATAAAAGCATTATATCTGAATTGGTATAGCACTGCCCGTTGGCCTACAGGGACATGAAAGGTGTTGAGGCACAGATCACTTGATATGAGGTACAGCTTACAAACACCCGATTGTTTGTGTGTTACGGCCACGTGCGGGCGCCTCCATTAATTTTCTGTGTCCATGTCCGCTATAAACCTTCAAGTAAACGATATCACCGGGAATTGGTTCAACGTATTCGATTTCATTACTAAGAAATAGTATCTCATCACAATGTATAGCACTTTATTAAATATTGATACCTAATTCCCAAATCCAGCAAGAACATGCGGTTTGTCAAAGTAATCTATTGATGAAGTTTTCTCAATTTTAGGATTACCTTCATTATTATATATAAAGTTTTGGAAGAAACAGTGAAGAGTACAAGCACATAAAAGAATTTAAAAATTGGCTAGCTACTAAATTTTCTCCTCCATAATCTTCTTAAAAGAAACAAGTTTTGTAATATATATTCCGTTAGACGTTAAACTTCATAGAGCTTTAGGAAAATTTCTAGTAGTCTGATAAATTATTGTGTCGTCTTATACCATCAAACTTAAATATACCGCTATAAATGGATGAGAAATTTTATAGATTGGAAATTTCAGTTTTCGAAAAATAATAATACTTTTGATTTTGTATGACGATGAGAATTCTAATTTTGGTTTAGCTAGTAATAATTCTAATCCTTTTTACCTACTTTTGCATAGCTACTTTTAAATTCTACTGTTATATTTTAAGAGAGGTAGGGCACTGCGGATTTTGGGCTCGAGTTCAGTTTCCGCTGGTGAATAGGGATCCGTTGGACAAGGTGATGCCTGGAGCGGCACATTCTCTGCCACATCATCTCTTCGCGACTGGCCTCCACTTACATTTAACATCAGATGCGGTAGAGTAAAATGTTGCACCACGTGTAAAAATAATCTGCATCATGATGGAGCTCTAAATAAAGGTTACAATACTTTTAAAGTCAATCATGAGATTGAATTTGTATAAACAAAATTATATAATACTATCAACAACAAAAAAATAACAATTATTTGTGGTAAAGTTATATAAACGAAGACTAATCTTGGATAAGTTATTCTATGTTTTGTCTCTGTTCATTGAATGACAAATAGCAGTTGAGGGATATGAACAAAATACGGCGTAACTAATCTAAGCTTATTCCTTGTTTATTAATAAGGGGGACACAGTTTGATACATAAACCTTGGTGACCGTTTACCAGCAGACGGAAGGTGTGCTTGTTTGCCTTCCATCTACAGATGATAGAAATAAAGCATTTAAATGCTAGATGTTTAAATCCAAAGAAAATTTTACTAGAAAAAATTCCACGCGGACCAGCTTCAGACACGGGACTGTAACCCGCACCCTCGGCTATCCGGGTGGATGCACTGTTCATTATCCTACCGCGGCTCTAATTGTCGAATTTTTCTAACATTTCTAAAGCTGCAAAACTGCGCCTTTTCTTCGCATTGATAACAATAATTGTAACCAACAAACCAAAAAAAATTTTGGATGCACCGCGTGTTGAGCATAGTTTTCAGAAAAAATGTCGATGTGCAGGGTTTATCAACTATTACTCAAACTGTTTATCATGCTGAATTAATGCAATATGCATGATTTTTATATGACATATTAATTTTGTGTTTTCCTGCAGGAGGAACATCGCAACAATCTGACTGTAAGTGTCTTGAGTTTCGTCCCGACTCTTGACGATGATGGAAAGGCGATCACATGTCGAGCTGATAACCCAAACAGGACATCCCTCTACCTAGAAACTTCATGGACCATCAGTGTCGTGTGTGAGTTTAACTAAATCTCAAACCCTATTATTTAGAAACGTTTTTAAGATAAGTAGAGCATAGCGGGATTGGAGCGCCCGCTTTGGGGAGTAACCTCCACTTTTTGATGGTGTTGTATTTATGCTGAAGAGAAAGGTTTTGCAGGGCAAGCCTTACTATGGGCTATGGCCACCGCTTACTATAAGAGCATCTACTTATTTTAGGTGCACTTACAGCAATTTTGCTAAATCTCATTTTAACTTAAACTTGATATACATATATATACATACAATAATGTCAAATTGAGAGTGATGTTTTTCTATGGTATATTAAATCTAGTTATAGTTGAATCAAGCTTAAGCAAAATTGATCCAAGCGGACCTCAAAAACTAGACTAGTTTCTAGATAATAATAAAATTGTCTACTAACCTATTAAATAAAGTGAAATCAGTTTTTATGATATAGACACATTTTTTTATCTCTCAAGCTCTAGCTCATAGCACATCTATTATTGAAGTTGGTTCCTTCACGAATTATTATTATAATGACCCTTAAATTGAAGTCTCGCAGTAAGAGGAATTTCTAACTTAATTGATCACATTGTTTTGCAAGCCACTTATCCCTGCGAATCTCTCAACTATTAAGTGGCGGGCCGTAACAATAGTTTCTGAGTGATAGTTCTACGTACCTTGATTGAATCTAATCACGAAATAGGACTTCATTTGAACTGTTCCCTCAAAGTGAAACCGCAGGAACTAAGTTTATGCACGGATTACTTTATGTTCAATATTTCCCACACAGTATATCCATTAAAAATAGGTAAAGATAAAATTTACTGAATCTAGAGGACATTAACGGCATAATCCTGCGACATATTATAACTAGTTGTCATTGAGTAACCTGTCTCATTATTATAATTTTACGAGCACTAGTCGTTTTGTCAATTTATAAACTGAGAGTGTAATTTCTTTTTCTATTGAGATCTAAGATCAATATTATTATGATATTTTATATTACACACATAAAACATGCATATTACCCGTTCAAATGGTGTATTATTATAGGATTAGCTAAATTTCTGTATATCTTTCCAGATCCTCCAGTAGTGCGCCTGCGATTAGGCAGCTCACTAGCCGCAGGCGACATTAAAGAAGGCGACGACGTGTATTTCGAATGCCACGTACGAGCAAACCCACCAGCTAGGAAGTTATCATGGTTACATGACGTAAGTTCAGTTGTAATTGAGAGTACTCTTTTTTGATGAACCTCATCATCTGTATTAACATCATCGTTGACGTTTTCTATATTTTACACTCTTTTATCATCATCAGTAGACTGTTTGTCATCATCATCACCACCGGGGCAAAGGTATCCGTTAAGACCAAAACTGATAAAATATAACAAATAACACCTGCCACGTGGCTTTAATGCAAATCAGGTAGGTACTAGTAACTGTAGGTTTTTATAATGTAGCTACAACCAACGGCACGTTTGTGACTGAACTAGCTAAAAACAATTCATGTCAATTCCCCAGAGAAGTAGGTTTAGATAAATAATGTTCATTTGCTAAGAATCAAACATCTCTTTCGGTTTCCTGATATTGATGAATCCCTAAAAACTTATACTTACAGGCTAGTATTTTTTTTTAACTTTTCACGCGACTTCTTTTTTGAAACCATTGCTATATAAACCGATTATATGGCCGACCTGTTGGTAAGTGGCTGCTAAATCGTATAGACACACGATATCACTTACTAGTTAAATATTATGTGGCTTTTATTTATTTATTTTCATTTGGGAAACATACAGTTTTACACAATTCAATTAATTTACACTTAACTTTTCTATTATTCCATCCCTAAAGAATTCCATAGTATTGGTAAATACGATTCGATTTGCCGTCGTCGTTATAGCTGGCACTTTAGACTACTTTAGAGGATCTCAATATAATGCTCAATTACTTTAAAATAAACATAAACTCTAGTAAAAATATATCTATCTAGGACAATTAGTAGTCCACTTGGGTAATTCCAATTTCGGGGAAAAGGTGAACCTGGTCTGGACAGCGTTCGGGAAACTTGGCAATGTTTTCTCGTCTGAAATATCTCAGTACCTGAAGACCAAGGTCTTCGAACAGTGCGTGCTTTCCCAGTGATGACATACGGAGCTGAGACGTAGTCGTTGACAATAGGCCTCATAAGAAGGCTCGAGAAGGAGAGAGCTATGCTATTTCTCTACGTGATTGAATCAGGAATGAAGAAATGTTGAAGAATTAAAGTGACCGACCGATAGCTCAAAGAATCGGCAATCTGAAGTGGCAATGGGCGGGGCCCATTGTCCGGCGAACCGATGGACGTTGGGATCCCAAGGTGCTTCAATGGTGACCTCGTAACGGGAAGCACAGTGTCAGTAGATCCCTGACCAGGTGGACTGATGACATCAAGCGAGTCGGGGGGACCCACTGGATGCGGAAAGCGCACAACCATTGTATTTGGAAATCCATAAAGCAGGCCTCTGTCCGGTAGTGGACGTCCATCGGCTGATTATGATGATGATATGATGATGATAAATACGAAATAATTTAAACACCACAACTAGACAGGATCGATGATAGTGACATTAATCACACTTGAAAACATTATAAAACAGCACTGCTATACGACGCTCTAATGTCGAGAATTAATATTCAATTTCCTCGGCAAAAGATTTATTATTGTTACAATTATTAATCCATCGCCGATGCGAAAACAATAGCGGGTATAAAGTAATAGACGGCGGTGTACGGTCCGATAATCGCTTTGTACTGTGTCGCTCCGTTTTAATCAGCAATACGTAGGGAACGGCCGGGCGGCACAGGTTTTTTTTATACTTTTTTTTTGTTTCGGTTCACCCTTTCAGGGGCAATCAGTCGCGCGTTGTTACACGGATCGCGACACGCATCACCGCGTCCGCCTCTACTCTTGTTGTTGTTTTTTCTGTATTGTTTTCACGTTTTTGTTGTTCGCAGGTCGACCCACTTATCCGGGCCCGCTGAGCGGACTTGTTTCAAATGCGATCGCTTTTGACGTTGAGTTTTTGTCTGAACGACGCACGTCAATGCGTGCGACGTGTGTCGTAGAGCATAATATTTGCGTCGTTCCCTTTGTTCCGTACAAAGTAGGATTTTCCGCTTTAATTACTTTATGAATATGTTATTGTGCCCGTATCTCGTATGGAATTACTGGTTCATAATTTTTAGAATGGCGCTGCAGTGTCAATTTATCATTCTCATTTTTAAAGGTGTCCACGTGGAGTTGTTTTGTTGACGATTGCAAACGATGTCCACTTCGCTGATGGGCCTCGCGATGCGTCGGTCGGCGTTCGTCGTCGGCGCCACGACACGCGTCATTGTTTCCCGCGCAATTGTTTTTGAAAAATGGCTGTTGTCCGCGCTTTACGCCCGAATTAAACCGCCTAAATTTACTGCGGCCGTTAGCAAGGCCGAGCTTCGTGTTGGGATTTTTCTGCAAGTGTTATAAATTTTAATTGATGTTATTTTTGTCGGGCCGTTATATTCGGGCCGTAATGGAGGGCTGTAATGCGCGTCTCGCAAGAGGGTTGCGTTGTTGCTAGGTCCACGACAATGTCCACTGAGAGCCGAAATATTTATTATTAATGCGCGCATTAACCCACCACGCGAAGAGCATTGGCGAACCTCTGTATAATTAGGATTATACTTGATACCTACCTACAAAACAAATGACGCGTACACTTGTTTAATAAACAAAAACCTCGACGGAGATCTATTCCAACTATAAATTAATTATCACTCAATTTTCTAACCACTTCAATTTTTCAATTCATCGGGTGCGTATTGATTTGTGTAATATGGAAAAGTTAAAACAATAATATTTTCATGTTTACTTGTTGTTCGTAAGACGAGATGAATATTTAACTGTTTTATGTTAAAAAATTCTGAGTTACACGTTTTATATTTGTTATTTTTTTTATTTTCTGTGAATGTACTGATTATTAGACAAATGCTTGGTTCAATGGCAGCGCTGCCTTGTGTTACATATAGTTTGGTTCCAAATCTTGACAAAATGGGTACTTTATATTTTGGGATTTTCACAAATATTTATTGCATACCATGCCATGATAATTTATATAATTGTGATGATATGAAAATGGAATGACATACGTTATCTAAATACCGTTGTGCTTGTAAACAAGTCCAAGTCATTATTTGTGTTTTTTTTACTGCTTAAGTAATTACTTGTGCGATTATTCATTTCATACTTGAGAAATTGATAAAGAACTGGTAACAATGAGAATTCTAAACTAAGAAATAGAAACCCTTTACATAATAAGTAAATGTAGAAACCTTTTTCATTGGTATGTAACCTTTTTTTTTATTGAAGACTTCTAGTGTCAAGTGATGATTTTACTTAGATGGTAATATTATAGCAACAAGTGATAACTCGTTGAATAAAAAAGAGTGTTAGGCTCGAGGAAAATTACATAAATATTCAATAGCTGTTGAGAGTTGTTAAATTTTTGTTATTATTAATTTTATTTAAAACTATTCAAATATCAAATAGGAACATAATCTATCAATAACTTTCTGATATTGCGAATAAAACGAAAAGACCTCCAGATACGAATTAGATTTCAAATTTCAAGCTTTCTCTGTTAAAATATTTATATAAAAATCAAATTTATTGTTTGCGAATGACGCAGCTTATTCGACCAGTCATTCAGCAACAAAGGTCCAAGTGGTTTCAAGATTAATGGATCTCCAGTCTGGCTTGAAATAGATCAAATGAGACCTTGAGACGACCTAAATAAAGGTACATTTTGAAATACAAGTGGCACGTATTGAATGTGAAAGCGTATCATATTAATCTCTGTTTATGCGAATGCGTAAATACGTGGCCTTGCCTCTCTCCCGTATCCGGCTTATTTGACTCCTCATTCCGCGCCAATCGAACTCCAAAAAGGTTTATTATAACGAAAATGAAATATTTCCTCTGCAGGGCTTTCGAAATATTTGCTCCTTAAATTCTATCGCTTGTCGCTTGCTGGTGTGCTTACACGTCAAGACCCGATTAATGTATCGACAGTTGATGGCTGCAGAACTCTCCCCCATTGTGACAATGCCTCTTTGTATGTATCCTGAAATTTGAATTCACAGTTAGAAAAGCAAACCTAACTATATATTCTTGACATTCATCAAAACAAAGTCTTACGATCTACAGGACGTGCGACCGAATTGGTGCAGATGGATCAAACAGCGCGCTGATTCGTTTCTTTTAGGTGATCAATAAACAATATTTCCTTTGTTTCAAAATATCTAAATAACACTACTTAAGTTTATATTATACTTCTTTGTTTCTGTTTAGATTGTTTTGTTTTCAGGCATGTGTCTGTATTTTTTCGGTATAAATAAAAATATTCCGTGAAAAATGATGTTCTTGAAAATTATCAAATAGGTTTTGAGATCATCGCGGACCTACCTACATCCAGACAAATGCGGCATGGAGTTTGGATCCCATCGTATTCTTAATTTTTACATCTACTTTATTGGAGGAACGTTTAAAATATAAATGTAAATATAAACATGAAATTAAGTCCATTTCCCACAAATAGTGGTGACCCGAATTCATTTCTTGCAATTGTATTTGAAATAATATGCTTTGCGCAACAAAGGCCATACTCTGTTGGTTGGGTTTCACAAAGACTATGTGCCGTCCAGTGTACAGATTGAGATGTGAGTGAAATGGAATTTATATGGCCGCTGAGAGACTACCATAACAGTTCTCCGGAGTCCTTTATCTGTGGCGTTATTACCCCGATAGAAGTGGCAACAGTCGTTCGCATGCCGATAATAAAACTGTTGATGCGGACACGTATGCCCCTCACTGTAACGGATTTATCGGGAAACAATGTAGATGGGAATATTATAAACGTTGTCAGGGTTAGCATTGAAAACTTGTGTATCATTGGAAATGAAAACCACAACTAGTAAGTTTCTTAATTCTTCAATTTACGTGCGAAAATTACAAAATTTTTGGGAAAAATTACAATGTCATTGTTAGTTACAACTTTAGATTAATATGTCTATGTAGTAGTAAACTAATTTTATGATCTGTACTATATTGCATGGTAAATAATTTCCTTTTTTTATTTAACATCTATAGGTTAGGGCATGCGGTCAGCAGACAAGTAAGACAAAAAAATTGAAAT